GGTAGAAGACCTAGGCAGTCAAATAGTGTGTTTGAGAATTAAACATACTCTGCTTGCAGTGCCCAAGTTCTCTCATGCCTAGCACACCAAATAATAATATACTTTATTGTCATTGTACACAGTACAACGAAATTAAAGGTGCAATCATTTCAGTGATCTACAGCCATACACATATACACTCACACAACCATTCACAACCATCCCATAACTCCCTTAAGGTTCACATTGCAACTTAAACCACCAATGTCACCCAAATTCCAATTCATACAGCATTTAAAGCAATAATAGCTCTCGAATAAAAACTGTTTTTTAATTGTCCTATATCTTCTACCCGAAGGCAGCAGTTCAAACAGGGAGTGTTCAGGGTGTGACAACTCCTGCAAAATGTTCTTTGCTTTTTTCAAGCATCGAGAACTATACAAGTCCTCCAGGAATGGGAGAGGGCAGCCAATAATCTTCTGGGCTGTGATGATAACTCTCTGGAGTGCTTTCCTCTCCACAGCCGTACAACTGGCAAACCAGGCACAGACGCAGTATGTTAAAATGCTCTCTATTGAGCAACGATAGAAGGACATCAGTATTTTCTCACTCAAGTTATTTTTATTTTAAAGTCTGAGAAAAAAGAGCCTCTGCTGGGCCTTCTTCACCAGAGCAGTGGTGTTAGCGCTCCAGGTCAAGTTTTGCTCAATAATCACTCCCAAAAACTTAAAAGTAGCCACCCTCTCCACACGTTCTCCACCAATAAACAGTGGCTGGATGTCCGTTTTGTTCCTCCTATAGTCCACTACCAATTCCTTGGTCTTGGTGGTGTTGAGGATCAAATTATTTTCCCTGCACCAAACACAGAGCCGTTCCACCTTGTCCCGATAAGCAGACTCATCATTTCCAGAGATGAGCCCCACCAATGAGCTCCTGCACCTCTTTTTCTACGAAATGACTGCTGTGTAAATCTAATAAAATAAATAAGTAATAAATAAACTTGATTGCTATAATTTGCTCTACGCTGGGCTGCCCTTGGGGCTGCCCTTGAAGTTACAGCTTGGGTCCTTACAGGGACACCGGTAACAGCACACATACAACCTGTGCTCAAGTTGAGTACCGTGTAAGGTTCAAGGTTTTGGTCTTGACCTTTAAGGGCCAAAAGTTAAAAACATAAGTATAAAAAAGAGTGTTTATTTCAAAGACATATAAAAACCTTGCAGGGACCCAAACAAAGCCTCATAAAATGTTCAAAGTTACAAATGCACAAAAAAGGACAGTGTAGTATGACCTCATGCATTTCAGCTCACAAGAACCTTCTTCAAAGGTCAAATAATAGTCCAGGGGTCATTTCCTGCGGGAGCGCACAGGAGCGGTGCTCCGGCAGTAAGGAGCCCAGGGGGTGGGCACATGCAACAAGACCCGCCCCCTGCCCCCAGCAGGCCACAAGGAGCAAGAAGCAGTCAGGTAAGTTGCAGAGCCCCCCCCCCAGCCTGCCTTCAGGTACAAGCTCTCCCTCCTCTGCGAGGACAGATCTGCACGTCCCCCCCCCCAATAGCCAGCAATCCAAAACAGTCCAGTGGCACCTTTAAGGCCAAGTTTTATTCAGGTACAAGCTCTCCCTCCTCTGCAAGGACAGATCTGCACGTTCCCCCCCCCCAATAGCTAGCAATCCAAAACAGTTCAGTGGATCCTAAGTGGTGGGTGTTGCCTTCGAACACACTTCCGGTGATGTCAGGGGGTGTGGCATATGCAAATGAGTTATGCTAATGAGTTATGCTAATGAGCTCCTGTACCTCTTTTTCTACCAAATGACCCCTGGTCAAAACAATGTGTTGCTGTTCAACCATTTGATCCCTGGCTCATCCCAATGTCAGCCATTCACACCTTGGCCACCCATGGAAGATCCTTACCCAGAGACGCCACGTTCCCGTAGTTCTCCAGCATGACTTCCCTGTAGAGAGTTCTCTGGCCCGGATCCAGCAGGGCCCACTCCGCCTCAGTGAAATCCACGGCCACCTCCTCAAAGGAAAATGGAGACTGAAAGGAAAAGCAGATTCCCTCGTCAGGGATCACGTCCAGTCAAGCAGAGACGGCACCCTGGAAGGGAGTCGTCTGGGAGGATACAGGATGTCAGGCTTGGGATGGGTCAAGGGAACGGTGGTCAGAGCCTCTCTTGCCCAGACACCTTGTAGAAACTGCAGAAGAAAAAGCCCCCCTGAGAAAGGAGGGGGGACCCATGTCGTCCCCTGCTCATCTCCCCTACCTGTGAACCAAAAAGGGCTAAGCTAAACCATATATATAAAAAAGTACAAATATTTATTAAGGTGTACACGTGTTAAAACTTTCCTGATTAAAAATTGCTTTGTCTAAGATCAGACTGTAAAAGCTTGTCCACTATACATACAAATGATGGGTAAAAACTCAACACCTGAAGACCAAACGCGTTTCGGCCCCTAAGGGCCGAAAATAGAATTTTCACTTTGATGGAGGGGCGCACATTCAGACCTACAAAATCGCTGTTACCAGAATAAGTTGTGGTGGTGATATGGCTATACCTATGGCCCATCACTAATACCAGGAGTCCAATTATAAGTAGACAAGGAAACAACATCTGGTGTAATTATATGTACTAGAATTCTGTAACATGTGTGTCTAGAATATATATATAATAGTGACCACTGAGGAAGGCCCTTAGGGGCCGAAACGCGTTTGGTCTTCAGGTGTTGAGTTTTTACCCATCATTTGTATGTATAGTGGACAAGCTTTTACAGTCTGATCTTAGACAAAGCAATTTTTAATCAGGAAAGTTTTAACACGTGTACACCTTAATAAATATTTGTACTTTTTTATATATATGGTTTAGCTTAGCCCTATTTGGTTGATAGTCATATCCTGGGCTGAGTCCCCCCCCCCTTTTTTTTCCAGTTTTCATCTCCCCTACCTGGACAGGAGATAAAGTAGCTGTTTCCACACCTCTGGAAAGACGACGGCTCAACAGCATCTCTCCACTGCCTGTTAGGAAGAGAAAGGAGGAAGGAAGGGTGTATGTCGTGACTTCTTATTCCATTTACTTGTTTGTTCCCTGCTTCACGCACCCCCTTCCCAGGAGTCTGAAACTTCACCCAATGTACACCCCAGAAGGTCAGAATAGAACCAACGGGTGGAAATTAAATCAAAAGCATTTTCAGCTAAACATTAGGAAGAACTTTCTGACAGTTAGAGCAGTTCCTTTAGTGGGACAGGATTACTCGGGAGGTGGTGGGCTCTCCTTCTGTGGAGGTTTTTTAAGCAGAGGCTAGATGGACATCTGAGAGTTCTGTGAACTGAGGCAGATCCTGAGAGGGAGGGCAGGAAGGGTTGCCTCAGTGCTTATTTCTTGTGGCCCTTTCTTACACACCCAGGGAAATGCTGATCGCCACTTTGGGGTCAGGAAGCAATTTTTCTCCAGGCCAGTTTTGGACACGGACCCTGGAAGGGTTTTTTTGCCATCTTCTGGGCATGGAAAACCAAAAATATAGAAGCTGTAATGATGTACAAAACGCTTATAATCTCACAATAATAATACAAACATTATTTCAGTTTGACTGTTTATTTTTGCATTATTATTGTGAGATTATAAGCGTTTTGTACACCATTACAGCTTCTATAAGGAGCTGCGGTGGCTCAAGTGGTTAAGACGCTGAACTGCAGGCTGTGGAAGGTCGGTAGTTCAGCAGTTCGAGACCCGGGTGCCGCATGACGGAGTGAGCTCCCGTCTCTAGTTCCAGCTCCTGCCAACCTAGCAGTTCGAAAGCAAGAAATTGCAAGTAGATAAATAGGGACCCCTTCAGTGGGAAGGGAACAGCGTTCCGTGTGCTTTGGTGTTTAGTCATGCCGGCCACATGACCACGGAAATGTCTTCGGACAGCGCTGACTCTTTGGCTTTGAAATGGAGATGAGCACCACAACCCTAGAGTCGGATTCGACTGGCTTTCGAGCAAGGGAACCTGAACCTTTACCTTACAGCTTCTATATTTTTGGTTTTCTACGCTAGCTGTAACCCCTCAGTTTTGTTAATCTTCTGGGCATGGAGCAGGAGTCATTGGGGGTGTGGGGATTTCCTGCGTTGTGAATTTCCTGCGCTGTGCAGGGGGTTGGACTAGATGACCCCGGAGGTCCCTTCCAATCTTAGGAGTCTGTGTATTGCCCTCAATGAATTTGTCCAATCCCCAGTTAGTGGACATTGAGCCCTGTGTGTTATGTGAAGAAGTATTTAATTCTTTTCCGGAGCCTGAACTCTCTCCCCATCAAATCCACAGTGTGCCCTAATTGCATCCAGGCATGATGAGTCCTTACCATAAATTTATAGAAGCCCCCCTTAGGCTGGTAGTAGGCCAACCGGATAGAAACAAGGTACATTATCTCCTTGCTTCACAAGACCCGGAGATCATTGAACTGACCGCTAAGTTTCTTCATGGTTTTATAAAACGGAAGAATGACTCTGAGCATATTAATGATTCTTAATTTATAATTTTAAAAACTTAAGTTTAAAAGTTTAGATTTTAATTTAGTGCATGACTCAGTTATCTTCTGTATGGTCAAATCTATCTTGTGACAACCTGACGTATGTTATAGGCCTGACATATCTTTGGAATGGTTTACCATGATCATCCATTTTATAATCTCTACAGGATTGTATTAATACTGGGAAATGTTTATTTTAATATTGTATGCCAATAAAAGGTATTTGACACTGACACTGAGTCCTTACCATAGGAGAGGGCATCTTGGGCTCGCTCCTGGGCCTGCGCCCTCTGCCCTTGCTCCAAGGAAGCTCCTTCCGCCTCAGGGAACATTGTTTCCTTCTTCACGGATGGGGCCCACACCTGAAACAGTATCAGGGGAGAGAGGAGTAAGAGATGGCTTGGAAAAGAGACCCAGGAATGGATCCTGCCCCAATCCCAGACTCTGCACCCTTCCCTCAGCAGACCTGGTGAGTCATCTGGAGGGATCAGAAATTCTCATTAAACAGGCTGCTTAAGGAGGCTGTTAAACCTCCCATTGGATGATTCACACCTGGACAGATGTCTGGCAGGGAACCTTTAGGATAAGGCCAGACATCGTTGCTCGAATCGGACATACCTGGAGGGAATCCCCCTCACCTGTCCTGCCTGCCTCTTCTCCTCTGCCTGACTCAGGAGGAAGCCTTCGGCCAGGGCCACCGCCTGGGAACTGGTCTCCGGCCCACATCCTCTCACCCAGCCCTGCATTTCCTGGGGCAGGAGGGTCAGGAACTGCTCCAGGATCACCAGGTCCAGGATCTGCTTCTTGGTGTGCCTCTCTGGCTCCAGCCAGTGGCTGCAAAGTCCGTGGAGCTGGCTGCAAACCTCTCGGGGCCCATCGACCTCCTGGTAGCGGAACTGCCGGAAGCGTTGGCGATGGACATCTGAGACTGCAGTGAGCTGATAACAGATATCTGGCCCCGGGCTTTCCCAGAATTCAACACCACACCCAGCTTCGGCAGAATAGGGGCCTTTTCTTGCTGTCCCGCCACTTTCAGGTCCTTCTTGGTCCTGCCCTTCCATCTCCTGCCCCTTCTATTGAGACACCTCCATCTGTGAAATGATGCCTGAATTCACTTGGCTGTGAAGAGAGGCTTCTCTCTGGTGGGAAGGAGACACACAGACAGTCACATGGAAATGAGAAGATAATGGAGATACATCAGTGAACATCACACACCTTCATATGCTCAGGAGACATATGAGAATCGCCCTGTTGGAGCAGAACAAAAGGGCTTTTGTGGTTTGTAGACCAGGGTTAATAACATTTTTCCATATTACAAAGCAAGCTATTTTAGATTTGCCTCCATGATTCTTGGGGAACATCAAGTGTCTCTGTTTGGAAGAAGGAGGAGGAGGAGGAGGAGGGGGAAACCTGTTGAGACCATTCTTTTGCTTATTGTTCCTGCTGGCTTGGGTCTATTCCTCAGAGGAGGAGAGATTGGATTTTTACCCTGCTCTTCACTCGGAGTCTCAGAGCAGTTTACAAACTCCTTTCCCTTCCCCTCCCCACAACAGACACCTTGTGAGGTAAGTGGGGCTGAGAGAACTCTTCCGAGAACTGCCCTTTCAAGGACAGCCCTTGTCAGATGGGTTGCCCAAGGTCATCCAGCAGGTGCAAGTAGAAGAGTGGGGAATCAAACCCAGTTCTCCCAGATGAGAGTCCGCGTATTTAACCATGACACCAAACTGGCTCTCTCAAGAATGCTTATTTATTACAATCACCATGCCATGTAAATATTTGCAAGATGGCATACTGGTTATCAGTCTGCCAAATTCAAAAATAGTAAATAGCATGTTTTTATATATTCCTTATAGCAACCAGCTTGTCAGAACTATGCTTGACAGCCCTTGTCAGAACTATGGGTTGCCCAAGGTCATCCAGCAGGTGCAAGTAGAAGAGTGGTGAATCAAACCCGGTTCTCCCAGATGAGAGTCCACGTACTTAACCACTACACCAAACTGGCTCTCTCAAGAATGCTTATTTATTAAAATCACCATGCCATATAAATATTTGCAGGATGGAATACTGGTTATCAGTCTGCCAAATTGACTCCATTCAAAAATAGTAAATAGCATGTTTATATATATATATATAGCGGTTTACAAATCTCCTTTCCCTTCCCCTCCCCACAACAGGCACCCTGTGAGGTAGGTGGAGCTGAGAAAGCTCTTTCGAGAACTGCCCTTTCAAGGACAGCCCTTGTCAGAACTGTGGGTTGCCCAAGGTCATCCAGCCAGGTGCAAGTAGAAGAGTGGGGAATCAAACCCAGTTCTCCCAGATTAGAGTCCAGACACTTAACCACTACACCAAACTGGATGTTAACAAGCTCAGCCTTTCATTACATTGGCTCAGTCTGTCGTAGGGCCTAATTCTTAAGGTAAGCCCAAAACAGACAAGAGGGGCAGGTGAACCCTTTACCATTGTACGCATCATTCTATAGGCCTGAAGTGTTAGGCAAGAACTCTGTCCGAGCAACCAGCTGAGACGGGGAAGGAAGGTGTCTGTGTGAAGAACGAGCAGCTGAGATTGAGAGAGAAAAGCAGACAGGCTGAGATTTGGCTGAAGAATACTGAGGTACAGAAATGCTCCCTCTGGGCTTCTGATGTGGGGTAGGGGACCTTCTACTCTGTGGGAATTCCTCTGGCTTCCAACCTTGCTCAGCTCTGGCAGGATATCTGTCACGAAAGCTAACAGTACCAAGACACGCCAGAAGGCTCCAGGGCTTTCTCCTGCCAAGGGGAACCAACCCAAGTCAACAGCATCCCTTGGACATTCTTTCTCCTTGAAGAAGCAGGGCGGAGGTCACAAGTCTGTCACCCAGAGAAGAATCCCAGTTTTCTCCTGGCCCCATCTTCGAACTCGCCCTGACAGAAGGGCCGTTTCCCAGAGTCCAGCATCTTTGGGGAACAAGCCTAAGTCCAGGCCTTGGACAACTCTGGATGGCTACCAAGTGCGTCAGGAGATACGCGCACCCAAGTGCTGCTGGGATCAGGGCCGGCTCACTCACTAGGTGGACTAGGCGATCGCCTAGAGCAGGCCGGCCCTTAGGGGCACCAAACTGCACCCGTCCCCGTACTCTGGGAGTTTCTTGATTATTTGTGTTTTTCATTCTTCCTAAAATGCATTTATTTTTGAACATTGGTGGGCGCGCCGGTGGGGGGGGGGGGCGCCAGAAGGGATCCCCGCCTAGGGTGCAAAATAAGCTGGGGCCGGCCCTGGCTGGGATGAAAAAGAGCCAGAGGAGGTGAAGAATTCTGGTGAATGCGCAAGGTTGCCAACGCCGGGTTGGGAATTCCCTGGAAATTTGGGGCTGGAGCCGGGGGAGGGCAGGGTACAATGGCACAGAGTCCACCCTCCGGAGCAGCCATTTTTCTGAACACAAACTGATCTCTGTGTCTGGAGAACAGTTGTAATTTGAGACGATTTCCAGGCTCTTCCTGGATATTGGAGAACCAGAACAGCCATGTTTACATTGTTTGACTTATGCATGGGTAAATTCAAGAGCTGTGGTTCCAGGAAAATTTATATGCCTGAAGATTTGTTTGAAACACGCAGGTTATGCCCGGGAGGCATGTTGCTAGGCCTGCTTGCGAGCTGAATCACCTCATGGGAAGATACATCTACTAGGCTTGCTGGCTAAGCTGAATCATCACAGTGAGAAATACCAGCTGCCTGCTAGCTTTATCTTATGGATCATCACTTGAGAAACGTACAATAGGTTGCTGCATTGTTCGGTGCACATAACTGTACATTGGTATCTATCCTCCATCAGGAAGAAGACAGTTGGACTCTTCATGTTATATAACTTAGGTCTGAAAGTGTTTGAAATGTTGATGTTGCCGTTTGAAAGTGTTTACAATACACTAGAGTTGATGTTGTGTATGAAAAGCAAATATATTTAGCTATAAGTACATGTCAATATTTGTCAGCGAGCTGCCATTTCCTTGGGACAAGTCTCGTCCCTTTCTCATCCCCGCCCCTCCCTCACTCCTGTGGTTGTTATTCTTTTCATGTTAGGCATCTGTAACTGCCAAGGTTCTCCAGCTGGTGTGATGGGGTATTGTGTCTTTATGCTCTGGCTTGTTTAGGTTTCCCGTGTGAACTCAACTTGTGTTTATGGAACTGGCCGTTGCTGTTCTCAGGCCGCTTCGCGCCTTTTCTAATCTGTAACCTAACGAGGGAAATGAGCTCATTGGTTTAAACCTTGTTTGAAGTTCCTTTAATACACCTTCCCTGGGTATTGTAGTTATTCCTAACAATCTCTGTATGTTCATGATCAACCATGCTTTGGAAATAAATCTTGCTTCTTTTTGAACGTGGATCTATTCTCCTGATTTGGGATCTAACAATATTTTGTTTATTATTTCAACACAGTGTTTTCTGTGTTTTATCTTCCTGGATATTGGCACCCTTACATCAGGGAGATGTTAGATGGGCCAGCCAATCCGCATGAATGAGTCATCCCATTTGACCCCCATCTGGGACTCCTTTCCCAGGTGGAACGAGGGGGCAGAGGCGATGGAGTTGGAACAGCCAGTGTTCCTTCCCAGTGCATCCACTTTCCAAAACACTGCTACGGGTGGGCACTAGAACCCACATCTATGGCACTCCCAGAATTACAACCGCCCTCCAGCAGGCAGAACTCGGTTCCCCTGGAGAAAATGGGTTGCATGGGAGGGAGGACTCCATAGCTCCCGTGTGAGGGTCCTCCCCACCACCCCCTCCCTCCCCAAAATTGGCCTTTCACAGAATCCACCCCACCGCCCCCAAATGTCCAGGAATTTTCCACCCAGCAACCTTCCTCCCTTTCCAAGATCTCAATGCTTAAACACCCCCACCCACCACCCACTTACTTATAGGGAAACCTTCCCGGGATTCCGTAGCACGGCTTTTCCCTGCTGTTGCTTATCTGAAGCCTTTCCTCTTCTCCCCCCCCCCATTCAGAAGCAAACCCCCCCCCTTGCCCGGCCTCTCTAGCAAAGAGCTCGGCGGCTTTAACCCTTTCCGTGCTGCAGCGCGTCGCCTGTTGTCTCCAGGAGGCGCTTCAGCCAGGCTGCCCTCGGCGAAGCCCTGTGCAGCTCGGTGGGGCTGCTCGGGAGTCACTCTGCGCGGGGTTGCACTCCCAGAGGGTCCCGTGCTGTTCAGAGAAAGGGAGGCTGGAGCTGGGTCCCAGCAGCTTATTCATCTTCCCGGCCAATGTTCCCTCTAAGCTGAGTGAGTGTG